AAACAGTTGCATTGTCGGTCCACCTGAAGAATTTAAAGTCTTCAGGTCCTTGTCCCCACCGCGACACCTGTAAAATTGCCTCCCGAAGCTATGTGTGTGGCGTGACGTGAATAGCAAGGACGGTAGTCCGCAACGACACATCACTTTCTCAGACTTCCCCGAATGTCTGGAACTCATTGTTCTGCAGTTATTAAAAATAAAATAGATCCAAAAAATAAGAAAATATAATAAATAAACTTACCCAAGTGTAGACCCAACGATTGATGACAACAAATTTACGTGGTCGTCCAAATTGCTTCACCGTTATCCACCATATAAGAGGTGAAGCTATTAACCAACATAAAACAACATATCCACATTAATTATAAAATACGCTCAAAGCTGCTAATATAAACTCCAATATAAGCATCACCTGCCTCTATGATACTCATGATTCCATAAAAGAAATCGCAAATTCAGCATTTTACAAAAAATTCAGCTTCGTTCATAATTAAGCTTAACAGTACATTAGTATTCAAATTTAAAAAAATTATGTCTGATAATTTAGGTTAACAGTACAGTCTTGCAGGCGGAATGTGGGAGAAAGGAGAGGGGGAAACATATTGTGTAACTAACAAAATTTATTTGAACATTACTGCAACATTCAATCGACTAGGCAATGATTTCAACAACTTTCAATAAGGTCCTAAATGGATTCCCCCAATTCCATCATCAAAAAAATAAATGACACAATGGTTGTTGTAATTATTTAAGCCATCCTAAAGTGCCAAATTTTTTTGAATACAGGAATCGAAGGGGAGAGGATTACTGCAGGACAAAACAAGTCAGAGGTTGGACAAATACAACAATTTTTCAAGGATGTGTGTTCCGTATATGTAAAACAAGCCAGAGAAAACCCACAGACAACAACACAAAACAAGTCTCAATTGAACATTACTGCAGCATAAAACATCCCCAAATTTAATAAAGCCAAATAAAGACACCTCGCATATTTCAGGATTTCGTACAAGTACCAGTTTCTTAGCATTTTTTTTGGGAGCCAAATGATTTCAAGTTCACTTAAGTTGATCCAAAACTGTTATTTGAGTTGAGTTTTGATGGAAAATTTTTTTCTCAGGTGGTGTTTATGGTTTCATGGGAATCGAAGGGGAGAGGATGTTCGCCACGAGGGAGTTGCGGAAGGTTTGAACGTCGATTTTTGTTTTATTGTTGTCCGCCCATTTGCACACATTCTCATACATATCAATCGAGTATACAGGGTGCGGCAGAGATAGCCGACCTTCGGAGTTAGCCGACCGACAGCACACGGGGGCTGGAGAGATGGGTTCGGCGGCGGAAGCGACCAGCCGACTGAAAATGGGCGAGCCATATAAACTGCAACTCGGGCTTTGGTAACCTGGCGAGGTCGACGGTGGAGATCTGCGCGTGGAAGGTTCTTGGATCCGGAGGCGGAGATACAACGGACGCAATATTCTCCTACAAAGTGTCTCTGAAGATGTCTAAGAGAGGGGAGAGTATGTTTTCGCACAAGTTACCTTTGCTCTTCTCGCTAGGAATGTCTCTAAAGAACTTTTTCTCGGGTGGCTTATTTCTTCCCTGTTTTGAAACGCTCAGCCGGAGGCAAGTAGCCGGCTGGAGATCGATTGCCAGTCGGTGGGTGCCTTTTTGAAGTACTCCAAGAAGCCCTTTTGCTAATCAACCCTTTCAAGTTTATCATAATGATGATTGCAGAGACAGGACGTCGTTCTCCATCCAGATCTTTCTAAAACCCGCGGTCAAACACTTGCGCAAACTACCCTCAGATGATTCAAACCCAGAAAAAAGGTCACGATCTCTGTTTCATATTTGGAGTTCCCCACAAATTTTCTCAGATCCTTGCCATCAATCATTAGTATGATTGGATCCCTCTTAAGCCTCCATGTAACACCCAACCGAATGTGCTATAGCACTATATCGAACTCAAAACTCCTCATTTTCTTTGCTTTCCGCTCACGAATTCACTCAAACCTCGGTGTAGATGTGATCAGGCTTAGAGGACAACTAACGGTAGGCAGGCGGAAGGTAAAGCCGATGTCGGTGGCAATGGACTGGAGCTCTGGCGTCAAAAGCTTACTGTCTTGATCTCGATCGAACTCCTGGAACTTGTTCTCTACGAATCTGCTAAAGGCTTCCCCGTCTCCGACCAGCTTCTCTATCTCGGCACTGCAATAACCCTTCAATAATCCCCCTATAACCCCATAATAACCTCTGTGGTTTCGCTCCAATTACCCCTGCAATAAACTCTCAATAACCCCAGATAACCCCCCAATAACCTCCACGGTTCCACTTCAAGAACTTCCTATAATAACCTACTAATAATCTCTGTGGTTCTAGTTCAATAATCCCCTTCATTAACCCCCACAATAACCCTTTAATAACTTCCCAATAAACTCCGCGATGTAGCACACGTGGCGGCATATTACTGGAGTCAGCACGCAAGACTACGTCCGGAGTCTGTAAAGAAAATATTTTTGGGGGGGGGGGGGGGGGGGTGTACCTTGGTTGGGAGGAAAAAATGTAGTGGAGAGTCAGAGGTTGTGTGCAAGTTCCCCATATTTTTTTTGGAGGGGTCTCTTCTCGGTGTTGCTCGTCTTCCTAATGATAACACGATCCACGCTCACAGTAACTTAAATGATATTGAATCTAAATCTATCCGGTAGATCGTGCCTAAGGAATAGAGCGTCGGACCAAGAGGAGAAATCCAAAGGAGGGAGAGAGAGAGAGAGAGGAGTAATCGGAAGACTTCCCTCGGCTAGGGGGAAATGAGGCTCTCCCGGGACTCTACGACCCATTTTATTCATTGAAAACCGAAGTTACACATGGGAAAAGCCTAAAAGATCCCTTTCACGAAAGAATGTTGCATTCGGACTCCAGAAGCAAAGTTGCGTCTCAATCCATTAAATTTTGTGATCTACATAGATTATTGATTCAATATGTAATTACAATTTTGAATTGATCTTGGGAGACAAATATTTACCTTGAAATGGTGGCATATTATTGCCATTTTGAATGGACTCATCAATTTAGTCTTTTAAAATTATTATAAAACTTATTAAACTTTGATTGAAATGTGTTTTATGACTTTCATTTCTCTCCAAAAAGATAAGTAAAACACTACAAAGATTACAACAATAACAAAACGTTAATCCCACTACGTGGGGTCAGCTACGTGAATCTTTTTCTTCATTGCGTCATATTTAGTGTCATATTTTTATTTAGTTCTAATAAATTAATATCATGTTTTATGCAATAAGCCCAAGTCTTCCTACGTCTACCTCTGCTTTTCTTAACATAAGTCGAATCTAAAACACCTACTCTCCTAATCGGATTATCAAATGGTTGATGTTTAATGTGACGATCACTATAAAGATTGCACTATATTTTTCTTCAATTTTATATCGCCTATCTGGCCTTATTTAGTGCCTTAAGGCTTATAGTTATTATTCCAAAAAATTCATCCATTGAAATTTTGATCCATCAACATTACTAGATTTATGATATTGAAAATTTTAGAATGTTGTAATCCATTTGATAATCAAAGTCTTCTATACTTACATCCCTCATCCATCACTAATTGACCACTATGTTGGTTATTGACTTGCCTTTCAACAAAGTGATAGTTTAGTTAGGTCAATCGAATCCCATGTAAGGTGGAATTTCTTGATTACTTTTTTTTAGGCATGTGTGTGTCTACTGTATCCATTGTTATAAAAATTAAAAATGTTTTGGTAGAATTTTGGATTAGGGTCAAAATACCTATTTTTAGAATTTATAAATAGATAATAGTGATATAAATTTTCTACAATTTGAACATTAAGGGTCTGTTTGACACAGCTGCAGGTTTTCAGCTTTTCAGCTACAGCTGCGCTGCCCCAGAAAGTTGCTGCGGGGAAGCTGACTGTCTGCTTAGTACAGCTGTGTAAAAATAACTGCAGAGCAGCAGTTTCTGGAAAAATGATAATTTTGTTATTCTTTAGTAAAACTGTTTAAAAGATGACTGTAACAGTGAAATTTTTGAAACTCCAAAAGCAAAATTTATTATGTAATAAATTAGTAAAACTTCAACGTGTTAATTATGTAATAAATCTAATTATTGGGTAATTAGTTATTAATTGTTATTTAATTAATTTATAGGATTGTTTAATATATTTTAAAATATTAACTTGTTAGATATATGAGCATATGAAATAAAAGACTTGTTATAGGAATGCTGTTATATTCGATGACACGATTGTTTTAAATATTTCCACATAGGATTTAACATATTATAAATAAACTAGTCAATTTAACTATTTTTTATCAAATATCGATGGTAATTAAAGAAAGCCAATTAAAGGGATGTGTGCCTAATTTTTTTTCTCAAGATCATTCATAACTTTTATAACATATAAATGTTAAAAGTTATGAATATCAATCTTTGATGCTCAAACACAAATACATTAATTTTTCATTTATGTCATTGATATGTAAACATAAATGTTGCTAAAAAAAATAAACTGCGAGTTGTAGTACCCATTTCTGCTATATATCACAACAAAAATTCATCGTTTACATAACAAAAGATTTCAGGGGATACATGACTACCGTTAATCCCAAACTTCAACGATAACAATGCAAAATTACATAAACACATCTCAAATAACCGATAGCATCAGGAGAGCAAAAAACATCTTAAATAACCGATAGCATCAGGAGAGCAAAAAAAACCTCTAAAACTATTACAATGACAATTAGTAAGATAATTATATTATTCTTAACATTAACACGATGTAGCTCCCGTGCCAGACTTTGCTCAAAAGATGTTCTCCATTCTCGATCAACATCATCTTGGGAATCAATCGAACCGTCTGCTCAACGGAAGAATCTGCATTGCTCGGCGTGACATTAGAAGTGAGGGTTCGAGGCCATAGTGACAGAGTGTTCGTCGGGATGTCCCGGAAATCCGTGAGCTCATCTTCTTCTGAGTGCAACAAAAGAGGAAATAACATTTCAGGTGTAACAAAATCTTTATTTGTAAATGACTCGTTTTATTAGTACAACAGTGATATACATTGAATGAGAACATTTACAAAGTATAAGAAATTAAGATATCCATCAATACAAGTATAAATTTTGATTTACAGTGACTAAATAAAACAAATTAAATAAACCAATAAAGAGAAATGATTTAACTTGGTTTGGTCATGCAGACCAACATCCACGGGAATGGAATCAAATATATTCATTACTGTAATAAAACAAAA